ATGAGCCCGGTACGAGCGCGTGCTTCTTCCTGCGCGCGGTCTCGGACGACCCCACCTCGGCGTGGTCTGACTACAGCGTCAAGCCCGGACAGTCTCAGTTGGGCACCGTGTGCTATGGCCTCAAGGGGACTGGCAAACATGCCAACGGCACGCACCGAGATATGCGCAACAAGCAGCGGCCGGCGGAGAACGCACCGCCCGCCGGCTGGTTTGAGAACGACTTTGACGACTCCGCGTGGGGCAAGCCGACGCCTCCGACGTGCGCGGACTGGGCGGAGAAGCACGAGATGACTGGCGTGTGGTACAAGGAGTTCAAGTACACGTTCTACCGCGTGAAGCCGCAGGTGTTCCAGCACGTTTGAGTACACAATTTGAGGGTGATTTTGCGCGGTCGTTGTGCTGATGTGAGTAGTTCATGTTGACTACTGTATGTTGGGGGATGATTGTGATTGCGAGTCTCACTGGATGTTGAGACGGGGTCTATCTACTGTATTCTCTATGCGATGTGAGTGTCGTGTGCACACGACTTGAAAGTGCAATCCTGATGTTGATGTGTATAGTAGTACCGCATCTAATTTAATATCTAAAGGTGAGTCTCTCCGTCACTTCGCCCCCTGTCAAACGAGGAGGTCGAGCGCGGGCCGAGCATCGTGAACTGCCGTAGAAGCGCCCGAAGAATGCGCCCCCGCGCCGAGCCCTCATCGAACAGCAGCCTCCGCGCCACTGGCGACAGCCGCTCGGCGGGCGGTGCGGTGGCGCGCGGAGGTGTGGGGACCGCCCCGGCTCCCGCAACGTCCGCGGCAGCACGTTGCAATGCGATCGGTGGCGTGTTCGCTGCGGCCGGCGCTGGTGGCGCCCCGGGCACGACGGCTCGTCGACCACCGTCCCACGGGACGCAATGGCCCAGGTCGTAGCCGGTGCGTCGCGCGTGTGTGAGGAGCGTGTTGGAGGCGGCGGCAGGGGCGGCGGGTACGGTGGCGGCCCTCGCGGCCAAAACGCCAGGTGCGGAGCCGCTGGGGCGGCCCCACGACCCTGCAGCCGTTCCAGCGGCAGGGACGGACGTGGCAGTGCGGGTGGCGGAAACGATGGCGGCACTGGCGGCCGCACCGCCTGGTTAGACCGTTTGGTAGACGAGTCTACCGGTAGACCGTGATGAACCTACGACCCCAGTCTACCGGTAGACTTGGTAGACCGCGGTAGACTCGTCTACCCCTTTTTCAGCCGCCGAACGGTAGACCGCCGCCGCCGGACGGTAGACCGCCTCGGCCGTTTGAATATGCAGCCTCCAGTTCTCCACTCTGGCGCCACTTTGGCAGACGAGCGCCGGCAGATGCCCTCGCGGCCTGCCGGCGAACGTCCGTCCGGCGAGAACGCGCGCCATAATGGACGTGTGGCTGTCTGGCGAAAACTCGCTCTCGAGAGCCGCGAGGGCGGCGCTCTGCTTTGACACTTCTCAACCTCCGCTACAAAAAGATGATTTTTTTCCTTTTTTCTCTGACGAATCTGGCCATCACGAACTAAAGTGTGCAATGGCTTCCATCGTTCTCGACCAGGGGGAGAGGATTGTCGCCGTCAACTCGGCGTGGACACGGCTGTGTGGCTTCTCGGCCAACGAGGCCCTCGGCAGCTCTCCAAAGCTCCTCCAGGTCCGTGCATAGCTCCTTCATGCATGGCCAGATATGGTCCGGCCGCATGAAAGGAGCGACAGGGTTTCGGACGCTACACACTGCCGACGTCCTTGTCACCCTATTCGCAGGGACCGAAGACAGACACGCGAGAGGCAAGGGCCTTTGCCGAGGCGTGCCGCCTCGGCTCTGCGTCCACCACGCTGACAAACTACCGCAAGGACGGCTCGCCCTTCACGCACCGCATCAGATCGCGCCGCGTGCTCGACGCCTCCGGACGCGTCTACTACCTGAGTGAGGGCCGGGAAGTGCACGGCGTCCTCAGCCTCCTCCCCTCGTCGCAAGTCGCGCGCCTCTTTTGCGTCACACTGCCTCGGCTCGCCGCGGCACTACCTCCCCTCGCCGCACTGTACGCGGCGCGGGAGGTTGCCAGCCACGCTTCGGACAGGCGAACGCGCAGCCCGGGCGACGCCAGCGGGAGCCCCTGAGGAGTAGACAGAGAGAGGCGCGCGCGGACGCACTCCCGCGAGGAGCTCCGGCTCTAGGCACCGCCACCCACTGAGCACAAGGCACGCACCCTCCCCTTCCCCCTCGCTTCTCCCGCAGGTCGGTGACTGGAGGCCTCCTCCCACAGCACAAAGCCACGCACCCTCCCCTTCCCCCTTGCGCGTGCCCGCAGGTGGCCCGGCGGGTCGGTGACTGGAGGCCTCCTCCTCCTCGCGGCTGGCACCGGCCTTCTCCTCTCTCTCGCCTCGGCCTGACCTGCTGATGACTCGCTCCTCCACTGTCAAGCAGGCACCAGCGGCTTCCTCTGCCTCGCGTCGGCCCGACAGGGGAGGGAGACTCGTTCCTGGTGCTGTAGGCACCAGCGGCTTCCTCTTCCTCGCGTCGGCCGCCCTCCTCCCGGGAAGCCTGGTCGCCGCCGGCTTCCTCGCCGCCCTTCCTCTTCTCGCCGCCCTCCTCAACCTCCTCCTGCCTGCGCTCCTAGATGCGGATCTCTCTCTCTCTCTCTCTCTCTCTCTCTCTCTCTCTCTCTCTCTCTCTCTCTCTCTCTCTCTCTCTCTCTCTCTCTCTCTCTCTTTCTCTCTCTCTCTGTGTGTGTGTGTGTGTGTGTTGTGGTGGGAGAGCCCTGCCGACTAGCACTCGAGCATTCGGCCGCCTTCCGCTGTCGTCCGCTGTGTACGCTGAATTCGCAGCCTGTGTACTCACCACGCGCTCTTTGCTCACTCCCACTCTCTCCCTGAGCCATGCACACGAACGCCCCTCCCTTCTCTCACCCCCTTCCACTCTCGCTCTCTCTGACTCTTGCGTGTTCATGACGCGGCCCGGACTTCAGTCTATTTACTCACGCCCCTGCCATGCACACACGGACACCGCCTCGCAGCTCGCTCCCACTCCCCTCCGCTCTCTCTGACTCTGGCATGTTATAGTGACGCAGCCAGGCGCCTGCCCTCTCCTCATTCCCAGCCTATTGTGTTGATTGTACCTGTACCTGCACTTGCACCTGCACTCTCACACCCTAACTCTTGTGTGTTCGACATGACGCAGGCCTGCCCTCGCCTCCTCGGCGCCGCTGCTCTCCCTCCTCGCTCAGCCAGACAACCTGCCCGCCCTCGGCGCCGCCCTGCCGCCCTTCCTCCTCCTCCTCCTCCTCCTCTTCGCCGCCGCCGCCATCGTCGCGGAGGGAGAGGAGGAGCCGCACGCCGTCGGCGGCAGCGGCGAGGGCAGCGATGCGGCGGCAGAGGGCGCGGTGGATACGGCGGCAGCAATGGACGGGGATGAGGCGGCCATGGCGGCGGCGCGGGCGAAGCGGGCGGCGGCGGGGAAGGCTGCAGACGGGGCGGCGGAGAGGGTGGCGGCGGCGGCGGGGGCAGCCTCCCCCCGCCCGCCCCAGCACCACCCAAAGGTGGTCGCCGTTGGCCTGCTGGCCTTCGCCGCGGCGCATGCGTTCCTCCTCCTGCCGCCCCCCGCCGCCGGCTCTCCCGCCGCCAGCTCTCCCGCCGCAGCCGCCGCCTCCCCTCCCCGCGGAGCTGCGCCGAGCGGCGGCGGCGGTCTCCGCTGCCTCGACCCGCGCCCTCTCTTCACGGCGTCGTGTGCGCCACGCTCGGCGCTCGCCCCTTCGTATAGGTGTGGATCGCCCACCCACCCAATCCTGACACGCACCTCCACCCCTGTCACTCAGCCAGTCCGTCCTGCGCACCTCCAACCCTGTCACTCAGCCAATCTGTGCTGTATGCGGGCTTCACTCTCGGGCCAGGCTGGAGGGGGGGAGGGGGGGGGGGGGCTATAGGCGGCGCCCATATCTTCCCATATCTCCCCATATCTCCCCATATCTCCCCATATCTCCCCATATCTCCCCAGATCTCCCCCTAATAGGCGGCGCCCTCCGCTGCTTGAACGCGTGCCTCGATGGCGTTCCTGTCGGGGCGCGCGCTTGGCCCGGCGCGCTAGATGCTCGGGGGTGGGTCTGCGTTCCGACTGCCACGAGGGGTAGGGGTCGGGGCTCGGGCATGGGGGTTCGGGTAGCGTGGGGGTAGGGGATGGGTTGGGGGGTACCGTGGGGGTAGGGGTCGGGGCGCGGGCATGGGGGGTTTGGGGCGCACCCCCACCCCGCGCAAGGCAGCGCTCGCGGCAGCACGCCCTCGGCAGCAACATTCGGAGCGTGCCGCAGTCGCATCTTGCGTGCCCGTAGCCTTGGCCCGGCGCCCTGGTTGCCCGGAGGTGGCGGCGGTGGCGGCGGTGAGGGCGGAGAGGGAGGTGGGGGCGAAGGGGGCGGCGGGCTCGGTGGGGGTGGGCTCGGAGAAGGCGGAGAGGGTGGTGGCGGGGACGGGGAGGGGGGGAGGGGGGGTGGAGGACTGTGTGTTCATGCAGGTCGGGCACACGCACACACGCACACACTCACTTCGGACACTCACTCACACCGCGGCGCGGGCCTTGCACGTTGAATGCCGTGGGGCTCCTGTCTTCTAGACGTGGAGTCGCGAGGGGCTAGCCTGGCCCTTGCCCCACCACCACCTTGTGTGTGTGGAGAAGTTGACCTTCCCTTACCCTGCCTTACTGTCTGAAACAGGCCGGGCACTTCTGCGGCATGCTGGCCTGCATGCGCCGCAGCGCCGACGCCTTCGCGGCGCACGGGGTCCGCCACCCTAGAAGCGGAATACCTCCCCATATCTCCCCATATCTCCCCTTATCTCGCGCCTAGAAGCGGAATTACGTACTCTCCAACTAGCGCTCGAGAGGACGCGGGGCTCCGCTGTGTTCGACCGTATTCGCACTCACTGCACCCCCCCCCCCCCCCCGAGCGTTCACGCGGCGCTCTGAAGACTCTGCACGATGCCGTCTTCCCGCCCCAATGTTGGCGTGTTCGGCACATAGGTCCGGTGGCGGCGGCGATGGTCAAACGGGCGGCGGCGCCCGGTCCGGCGACGGCGCTCCCCGTGCTACGGAGCGCGGGTCAGACGCCGTTCACGGCGGCGAGCTCAGCCTGTGGGAGCTCTGGGCGGGCGGCGAAACGGACCGCTTCGGCATGAGAGAGGGGCCTCCCAATCCCCCCACCCGCGTCCCGGTTTGCGGTGCCAGGCGTCGTTCGCTGCCCGTAAGCTCGCGTCGCTGCGGCAGCGGCGAGCGGCGGCCGCGGCGGCGGGCCTTGCGCGGCGAGCGGCGGCAGCGCACGGTGGGCGTCGCGCTCCTCTAGACCCCCCCCCCCC